GTTACCACGCCGACCCCAGCCCGGAACGCAGGGGTGCTATTGGAGGCGTTGGAATCGCCTCCGTCGCACCCCCGTACGTCGTTTGCGGAGAGAGAGTGCATCCGCAGTAACCTCCCTTTCCCGCTCAGATGCCTCCTTCGTGGACATGACCGTCTCACAGAAGGAGGAGTGATAAGCATACCTACCTCAACACATATTGGCATTACTCTATGAATAAGAAATACTTATATACTATTTAAACATTGAAACAGAGCTCTTGTCCACTTTTATATTTAATATCGTGTCAGAGAAAATGTGTAAAGAGTATAAGACACAATGCTCAACCCCAGCTCTCTAGGAAAAATAAATGATTTTTAGATACCATATTGAAATTAAAAATTTTCACAAAATAACAAGACTAACTGACAGACACTTTCATCTCATTTGCTTGTCATCGGTTGATGTTTACGAAACATTTGTCAAAATTAAATTAAAAAAATAACTGCGTAATAATGTCCGATAATGTAGCTTCATATGTATATGTTATGGGCAAAGTGATTAATCGGGCTGTATTCATAATGCCCGGGCTATTTTGTATATGGCTACATGATGACCGGTCAATGTGATTTATAGGTATTTTTTTACGTGGTTGGCTGTGGTGCGGGGCCGGAAACAAACACATTAATTAGGTTAAGTTATCTAACTAACTAAGTATTTGTATAAACATTTGAATTTGAATTTGACCCGGGGGGGCTTGAGGGGTCCGCCAAAAGGTGGGCAATCGCCAGCGGGGGGCTGGATGCAAACAGGATTCCCAGCCCCCTGCCAGTCAGGCGAGGTCGGAGCGCCACTGGGTTATTTTAGTGGGTATACCGGGAATCCTTTCCCGGGGAGTCCCACATACTCTCCGTCCCCCGACGGAGAGGGGATGCGTAAAGCATTTTTTCCCAGTGCGCACAAAAAAAAAAAAAAAAAAAAAAAAAAAACTAACTAACTAAGTATTCATTTGAAAGTATTAGACTTTCTTTACATCAGTCTGCCAAAGAGATACTGGATATTATTCATATTGCCGGGCATTATTAATAATGACTGATTAATCACTTAGCACATAACATATACCAGCAAAAATCTTAGATAATATATGAACAAATCTCCGTGCCTGTTCTGTGAAATTAAAACGAATAAGTTAGAATATTTGAAACAATCCTATATACTCGTAAATACAGTTCAGAGCAAAACAATTCTTCATACATATTTTTACGTGTACAAGATCCTTGTGTTTTTTTTAGTTGTCATCATGATCTAATAATACACAAATACTCAGAAGTCTGTCTCATTCGTGTATAGAATTTTAACACAGTTATTTTATTGCCTTCTATATAAAGTAATGTGTTTAATTACGATGTATGACAATAGTTATAATATATTATAGTGCTGTTCTGGCTGAAACATTGCTTCTATCAATTTTTTTTTCAAATATAATCCAATCATATTCACATTATTTATTTTTTAGCACGCTTATATATTATGTATGTATGTAACGGAATCTTTGAGCACGATTTTCCCCGGTTTCTAAACATGTGATTAACATGAAACTTTGCATATATCTCAAGGACCAATGACAATACAATAATTCGTTAACAATTTCCCATTATCCTTGTTAGGGCCGCCAGGATTAATATATTCTTTTCATAGATCCTCTATGAGAGTGAAAGGGACAGAGCTAGTGTGCGATCTGCGCATCACAAAAAACTAATTGATAAATCGTACTAAAAAATATAAAATAAATCATAGTTTAAAAAAACTACAAAAACACAGTTTTATAGCAAACTGAACTAACAACTTAAAAATATTTTTTAATAACAAAGAGTTTATATTACCGTAGCAGAAGGCTAAACAATCAATCATAGTTAATTACTTAAAAAATATATTAAAATTTAAGTTACAAACAGAATTATTAAATTCAGTGTGAAAAACGTGGGGTGCATTTTACTACATTTCCATAACTCTCCACTAATAGATAGTTGCCAATAAAATGATTGTATAATCTTCTATATATATAAAACTGGATTGCTGTTCCTTAGTCTCGCTAAAACTCGAGAACAGCTGAACGGATTTATCTTATCTTAGTCTTGAAATGTTCGTGGAGGTTCAGGGAAGGTATAAAAGATGAAAAAAGTTGCTTCATCACTGGGAAAACCCTAAAAACGGCCCTTTTCTATTTCCCATACAAATGGCTTTTTTGACATTAGATTTGACAACTAACTAATATGTCAATCATTCAAGTGAGCGAGAAATTTTCTCACTTTGATTAATTACGTTAGGATGCCGCCGAGAAAAAATCTTTAAGGAGGAATAGAGTTCACTCAGTCAGATATACATTTCTAATTCTGAAACTAACGCAGACGAAGTCGCGGGCAAAAACTAGTCTTTAATAAGTCAAGCACTCAGACTCATCCCAAAACAACTGCGATCCCCGAATAAACGGAATTAGCCAACAGCGCGATTCCGAGCCACTACTTCAACATGAAGCTTGCATCTAACGTTGACAAAAAGTTTATTAAAATTATATGTGAGGAAAGGCAAATTCAAACGTGTTATTAGATAATTATCGTAGATCCAAACTTTTTTTTATTTACTGATCTTTTGATTTTCTATCCCGTTGAGATCGTTTAAATGCTATCTAATATTTCTTCTAAAGACGTATCTATCTTTCGACCGAAAAATTTAAATGGTGCACTTTCCGTAACCTTAGAAACGCATTGACCGCCTATCGATAGTCCCGGATCGTATGAGGTGTATCTTGTATTCCGCCTACCAAGACACAGACAGTGACATTTACTTGGTTTTGTCCTCAATCCATCCGTCCACTCACAGAATTTATCCACTTCATCCAATAGTACTTGACAGTGTTTGGGGTGACGTGTCAGTATTGCGAGATCGTCAGCGAAGGCTAAAATGGATTCCGTGTATTTGTTATTGAACTTGAATCGATACTCAATTTTTTTCTCGTCACTTATTATTAAATACTATCAGAGATAAACAACAGTTTTGAAAAAATTCTGCATTGAAACTAAAGTAAACTAAGTTAAACTAACTAAACTAAACTAAGTTTTTGAAGGACACTTTTTAGTTGTTATATAAAACTTTAATTTTAAGTTATACGACGCGATCATATCACTAACTAAGGGTGGAAAGTTATACCATCTAAGCGCGAATAGCATCAACTCGTGTTGTATCGACCCGAACGCGTCCTCTAAGTCTATCCAACAAACTGTATTTTGTCACTCGATTTTTCTAACATCTTTTAAACTCTCCGACAGCAAAGTTTTGTGTTCTAGGCATCCAGAAATCCCGGGTAAATGGTTGTGTTAGTGATGACTAGGGCCCGGATAAATATGTATTAAAAAATCTAAAATATGTACATAAAATATGGACGAAAAAATCAAAAATATGGAAAAAATATGGAGTATAAAACAAAATACTATCATAATTAAACATTGTTTTACTATAAGAAAAGGGTCACTCGTAACGTACATCGTTAAGTTACATTTAAAAAACGATGAAAATATATAGCGAAATATTTATTTCAACAAAAACTATCAGTTTTATTCAACTTCCATTACACTAGCCTTATCAAATTGGTTGCAATACACAATGACATGCTTCTTTAAATTATCAAAATGAAAACTGACCATTTGGTTGAAATATAGCCTTATATCTGCTGAATGATCTCTCCATGTCACATGACGTGATGGATGCATACTTAAGCATACTTAATTCAGTAATTGTGTAAGCCATGTCTACAGCCCTCGAAACTTTCGCACAGAATTTTGTTAAATTTTTTTAGCGTATTAAATCCCTTATTTTTATCCAAAACTTTAGTGGCGGAAATGTAAATTTTATGTATTTTTGTGAATATATGGATGATTGTGACATTTTCTAGTAAAATATGGACTTAACTTTGAAATATGGTAAAATATGGAAAATAAAAGTTGGTTTTTCACAGTCTAAATATGACAATCCATGTAAAAAACACATTCTAGACCGAAAATCGCGTAAATTAAAAATATGTATTTACATATTAATCCGGGCCCTAGTGATGACCTATCGACTCTGGGAGTGACTACTTTTTTGATTGATTGTTTGATCGTTTTTTATGAGAATTTTACTACAAGTAGGCAACGATATGAGAAGTAACATTAGCTACTTTATAACCGTCTTCAAAAAAGGGGGACTTCTAAGTGCGACTAAATGTTTCTCATGCTATTAGTCCTTTAATTTAACACCGATTTTCAAGAACATATTTATAATAAAAAGACTATTGTTCTGGTGTAATTCCATTGTCCCCAAATCAGGATACAATAAGTGATCGTCGAAAAATCGAATAGATACCTCATAATGACGATAACACATCTCAAGGAGGGTTTTAAATATGCGGGCGAAACTGCAGAAAATAGGTAACTTAAAAAATAAAATAACGTGAAATTTTCTTCCTAACAGACAATGACTTTGGTGTTTGTTAAATAAATATACATATACATGAGATGAAATAATAAGATCCAACATTTATAACATTTTTATTTCAAATAACTATAAAATACCACAGAAACAGAAACTGAATAAATTACTAAAAATGAAAATGTAAGTATATTAAACTTAATCTATTTAAAATTACTTAATAACTTAAAACTTATGATATATAAGAAATATTATGTATTCACAAAATATTCTCATTTATATATAACTAATACACAACTCAAATAGTTTAAAAAATACAAATATGACTAGTTTACGGACTAACGTGGTTAAAGAAGACAATAAAACCTTATATTTGGTTATAAAAATTTGGTTTTAATCGTAAATGCTAATAAGAATTAAAAGGAAACACTGTCTTATTGTTCTGACAAACGTTACAAACATTTTCTTATTTATTATAAAAAATATATATAATTTAAGTTAAAAATAACGTTATATTAATAAGGAAAAAAGGTTTTATTTGAAAGTTAGATTATTATTTGTTAATAGTCTGTGTAGCCCGGGTTGCCAACGGCATCTAGTGAGACAGGTCGGTAGTAATCTTTCATTTGTCCCCAGCCGCGCGGCGCTACGTTGAAGTTTGGTCCACATACGAGCGGGAGGCGAGGGCTTTTTGGAGACGCGTATACATCATTCAGTTTCGTCGGCGCCAACGGTACAGGTACCTCAATATTCTGTACAGTTATAGTGGGCGGTGTTACCGGGAATGGCTCCATCTTTGGTAGATTCGACGTGTGTTTGAGAGCGGACTTCGGATAGGTTTTCTGGTTTCTGATGCTGGAAGGCGGTCGGTATGGTGTGTCGTGATTGGCGACAGGCGTGGGGGTGCTGCAAGTGTTTGATGTGTTGCGACCTGGGAATTAAACGATACGATTAATAAAAAATACTTTTAAATAGCCGTTATAAAGTTTAATATATCAGAAACATCGTAAAACTAAGAAGTTTTTGAACACACAACTGAAAACAATCAATCTTTTGCCAATGTGTTAAAATTCTGTTTCTTGGACACCAGTCTTCCTTCTAGGCAATGATTACCAATATCTGAATTCATTACGTTCTCTGTATTGCTATAAGGCAGATATTGGTCCCTTAAACCTACACTTGGATCGCAAGTCCCAGTCACTGTTGAAGCGCTTCTCCCTGACATTGACATTGAATGCTAAGAGGTTTTATCTAATCTCTATAGTAACATAACATTCTATGTATGATAATTCCTCCATACTAACCTCGTCCCTCATGAACCCACTTGACGGATCTCTTCTTCCTGTTCACGTACATGCTCTGTCCCTTGCTCATCTGGTTGCTTGAGTCCGACAAAGACTTGGAGATGGCCTTAGCGAGGTCCATCTGCTCCTTAACAGTGGGGTGAACGCCGGGCACGTAGAATGCTGATGATGCGAATGTTTTCTCTGTAATAGAAAGGTAGAATTTGGTAACCAGAGTTTGTATCAAATTATATTTTTTATTTATTTATTGGAAAACAAACGGCATATACAACATCATAATAGTCAAAATAATTACATAAGCCAACAAAGTTCCCACTTTTGCACAGTTTCATGGAGTGAACATAAAAAAAATACTTATAATTATCAGAATTTAAACATTTTACAATTCAAAGTGAATTTGAGTTTAAGAAAGAAAAAAAAAACATCTTAAATGTAATAATTATATGAGCTTTTTCAAAAAACGAGAATACTTATATTATACTTATATACATATATAGTTTAATTTAACCTTTCTTTAAGGGAGGGGATCATATTTTGCTTGTCGGTAGAAAGAAAGAAGAGTGTTACTATATTTTGAAAGTTGTTAGGTTCTAGATCTATTATGGGTGAGGGATCACGGATAATTCGAACTGATATAATGATTAACGAGTGCCTTTTATACCAACAAGAGGTATTTCAATCTTTCTCAATGTCCTTAGTTTTCAATAACAATTGGCAGTTAAAATCCATATGTTCTTCATTTGTCGAGAACTATTTTCAAGGTCCGTCCGACAGAAGTGGATTTATCAATAGTTTAATCAATTTATGATCTGTTAGTTATAATAATTGCTTTGTGCCAGCCGCCTGACAGACTTTCAGACCAGTTGTCCAAAACCGTTATTGAAAAAAACATAAAAATGTCACCTTGAGTTGATGATGGAAATACTAAATAATTTTACATTATACTATGCACAAGTTTTGGTGTACATAATTTAGGTTAATACTATAAAGTGCGAAGATTAATTTGGAAAAACTTTTAACGCTACGTATGTAGTGAGACGACGCGAACTCGTAGTTGGCACACGGATTACTTCTGAACAAAGTACACGATAAAGCCGCTTATGAAACAAAACTTATTCATATTTATATGATACCGAATTGAGCTAAACATATAATGTATGATTCACGCCAAAATGAACATTTTATATCTAAACTAGTTTTTGTCCCCGACTCCGTACTCGTGAACTTCAGAATTACATCCAGAGAGAAGTGTATAAAGTGTGTTACAACAATATATGTATATAGTACCTAATCAATAGACCTTCTTAAAAAAATATTATTTTGGAAAACAATATATACGGTATTCAAAAATTTTAGGACCATTCACTCAAAGGGCAAAAGAATATACATACATACATATATACGTATATATGTACGTCGTTTGTAACCAAACAGTAATAGTTATCAAAGCAAACTATAGAAGACATTAAACATGATCTGTACTCCCAAGGTGAGAGCTTGGGAACATTTTGATGTACATATATTACTCGCAGGAATTGATATTTGTTGATGAAAATCATCAGCTTCTGTGTTCTATCCAATCTACGTGCGATATATAAATATAATATAAATTTCAAAGAAGATATTACCCTACCCGCTTCTACACATGAGAATGGGATATTTTCGTTTAGATATGTTTATAATTATTTCATTAAAATATGTATCAATAAAATGTAAACGATTAAATATAAATTTGCTATATCAATCCAAACCAAGTCTTTTAATACAAGACAAACAATACATACCTACTTATAAGTTAGATGTAAATTATCTTTTATAATTAGTAAACGCTCACCGAATTTCCTGTCTTTCTTAATGATATGCTCTTCAGCATCAGGTGCGGGCGTGAAGATCTTGTTCAAGTCCACCTCTTTGTCACCCACGATGATCGGTTTGTTCTCCAAATCCTCCTGTTAAGTATACAGTTATAAGAAAAGAAAAACATTTTACAATAAAGAAGTTAATTAAAGTACTTCAAATCTTCTATCTATTTTATAATAAAGATTTTCTAATGGTTTCTAATAATAAGGTGTTTACAATGTTACCAATACTATATACAAGAATGTACATGTTTAAAATATAACTAAGATGGCAACACTAAGCAACACTGACAGTAATGACAAATATTTACAGAAAAAAGAAACACATTTTTTTTCCTAAAACATTCCGAAACTATTACAATTATGATTTTGTTTTATTTATTATCTATAAAAAAGATTGTATATGTGTATTATTGTTAGTAAATAATAATATAAAAATAATATATTATAGGTTAATATACAATTCTGTTAAAATTAGATGAACCAGCGATAAGAAGCATTAGTTAACAAATGTTCTATATTGAGGGAATAAGTATAAATATCTCTTATAGAAAATTTTATTCAACATAAAACTATGAAATATTTACAATAGTGACAGTTGACATTTTTTAATTCTTACTGGTAGATCCAGGGGAGGCAAAGGCATGGGGCCGACGTCCACGTCATTCTAGAACCGGTAAATTGAAATAAAAACCTTATTTATATATATAAAAAAAATACTATCTTGGAAAACAATTTATATATAAAATTGCTGTATTAAAAAATTTTAGGACCATTCTTTCAAAGGGCAAAAGTATATAGTAATATTATTTAATGATAATTATATTGAGCCTAATAACCTTCAAGTAATTACTATATATATAAAGCATAAAGTAGGCTTGCTAGCACAGCGTTGAAATAATGTAAATTTTAAATAGATTAGATCCAACGCTTGTTGTACAATTTGACAAGAGTTTTGGCGCCAATCCAGAACGTGCAGCTGCCATTTTAATATATGGTTTACATCAGCCGTATTTTTGATAATGAAAATAATGTCGGGTTTTAAAATTCCTTTGATCAATATTGACATGATAGAAATTAATTGTCACGGATAGCTGAATTTTCTTGGCAGTTCAGCTTGATATATAGGATCTTAAAATAATTTTATAGATGTCGCTATAATCGATGTCAATTTATACATTATCAGCCTACCACAGCCCACTGCTGAGCAAGGCCTCTTCTCACATGGAGAAGATTTGAGAATTAATCACCACGCTTGCTCAAGACGAGTTGGTGATTTCAAACTTACAAGCCCAGGTTTCCTCGCGATGTTTACCTTCACTGTCTGTCAAAACTATAAAATAACTTATCTGTCATTATTTATTTCCTTGTATAAAATAATACTGTAAAAAACGTTTGTTATTGCAATATATTACTACCAATATGGATCTTGGCCATTTAGTAAAGAATAAGCTTTAATATTGTCACCTATTCGATTATTATGTAGCCTATTTGATTATGTTAAGTTCTATTTCAAAATAGTAAAAGCTGTACTGTACCTGATAAGTAATTTTTACAAGTACTTAATAGACTTACAAATGTATTTTTGTACGTAATTTGAAATTAATAGCCTTTCACTAATACACGTGAAATTATAAACGATATTTTAGTTTTTTTGTCTGTGTGTTACGGCTAATATCTGGAACATCTTGACCGATTTTGTCGAGACTGTCATTCACTACGAGATAATGTCACAAGGAAGAGTATTGGATACTTTTTAAACGACATCAAATAGAAGGAAGTTTTTAATTTAACTTTGTTTGTTACGTTACTCCTCCTGCAATTAATGTCCCATTTTCAAAGCTATTATTTTAAATCGTAAGGAAAGTCCTGAAGTTGTTCTATGTACTTTCACTCCTTCAACATCTGATGAAGGTGTCCTCGAAAGAAACTTCTTAAGAATGATGACGATTATCTACAAGAGGGCTAAATAGGTAGTATTAAATATAGATTACAAAAAGTGGAAACTAGGAAGAAAAATGCTCACGAAATTCATATAATATACATATGTATAGTATTCCGACCGATTTTTTTATATAATTTATCGAAAATTCTAGAAAAGTTTTCATATTGCATCGAAATATTCTTTTGTGTGTACTTCGTCGACTAAATGCGATATAATTTGTTATTTGACTAATGAATTATTGTCGCTTTTAGTGAGTCGATACTTAGTTTTGGAACGTCAACAAATGAGTGCTGCCACTCAAACGAACACATTACAATACTGTTGCCAGACACAAATATATTAAATAATTAACTAATGGTTTATCGTAAAATGGAGAATTTGTAAAAAAGAAATACTTTAGACTTTAAACCGAATGTTACAGAGATTATTATGAGTTGAAAAAATCATATTTATTTGTAGTTTCTCTATCCAGAAGTTTAAAATTAATACAATTTATCTTTAAAATATATCGAATTATATACAAAAATCAAAACGTTTACAGAATGTCACACTATACATACATTATGTACGAAAATTCTTAAAAATAAGATCGCAATTAAAATTTTTTATTTAAATAAATAAAATATTATACACGTAAAAAATATAACATTGTAATGAAACTTTTCAGTGACAACAGTATAATATATGTGCGTTAATTTATTCTGAAATTCTGTATAGTAGAACATTTCAAATTAAATGTTGTATTTTGTTTCACATGACAGACGATAGATTTCGCTAGAAGTCTGTTACCATATCTATTTCTTTAAGCAAAGATTATTCATTTCTTACAGAACCCAATTCTTAAATCCATTCGGACGAAGTCGCGAACAAAAACTATTATATGATATTAAACTTTTAAAGCAATAGATTATAATAATAAGACGACAAACAATTTTAGTTAATGTAAAAAAACATTTGAAGGTCGTCATTTTTGGAAAATTTTCACATACGTTAGGGAGCGTTCAAGTATTACGTAACGCAATTTTGGGGGGGGGGGGGGGGGTCTCGTAAAACGTTACGATGCGTTACTGGGGCGGGAGGGGGTGTCTCTTACAAAACGTTACGTAGCATTGTTTCTAAAAAAATATTAATAAAAACCCCCAAACTGGCAACTCTTTTCTTATTAGTTAGTTATTAGTTAACAATATGTAATAATAAATTCAAATTATATATTTATTATGTGAGTAGGTGTGTAATTATGTATGCGTATTTATATTTCTTATATATATATATATATATATATATATATATATGTATATATATTTAATATTGTTATTATTATTATTATTTTTTTAATTATTCATTGTAATATCTCTTTTATTTCTTTTTCTTTTTTATGTAATTAGTGGATAACGGTGTGGTTTGTGCATTTATTAAGGTTATAAAATTGTATAATATATATTTTCATAGATGTACAAATGTTTGTTGTCCCAAATAAATTAAAAAAAAAAAAAAAAATAAATAAATAAATTAAAAATTCAGGAAGTGTCATTGAACTCAAAAAAATGCTAACGATGTATTAACATTTTATGGAGCCGTGTAACTGAATGTTAAACAATTGAAGAAAAAAAACGAAAGATTGTGTGGGCCGAGGTGAATGACCGAAAAAAATCGAGGGCGAATATTTAAAAGTTCTCAAATCAATGAAGTATCGGGAACAGAACCCAAATAGATATGGAGTGAGGCACTTGAGGTTTAGAACTGAAATAGTTTCCACTTATATATATACATATATATCTTTTTAACTCTAACTCTTAGTACTAGATATATACATATATGTATATCTTTTTAACTCTTAAAATATTCGTAGTTTCTAAGCAGTCCACTTTATATCTTTCGTTGTATCTGTAAAATTTTAAGACAATTTAAAAACTTTTATACTGTTTTTTTGTATATAATAATAAAATAGTTTTTAATACAGTTATTGATACACTTAGATTAGTCATTCTGTATGAAAAAGGTAAAGTTTTATCTTTCGTAATTTTAGACAATAAGTATAATTAGAATTATATAGTAGTTTCTCCTCATAATTGAAATATATTAAATTAATAATAATAATATTTTTTTTTTAATAATCGTTTAAACTTGAGATAAAATTACTGCTTCAAAATCTACATCAATCATTGTAATCTGTACAGATCATCACCGTCTTATATTTTTCGTTGAGATTTATTTTTTGTAATGCCCAATCCCGCACTTTTTATGATAAAATAGTTTTTGCCCGCGACTTCGTCCGCGTTAGTTTCGTCATTAGTAATATATGTATAGCTGACCGGGCGAACTCTATTCCGTTTTAGAGGCCATTAATAATCAGGTTTCTCCTGTTTCAATCGAACAGAATGATTGACATATTAATTAGTTGTCAAATCTAATGTCAAAAAAAAACGTTTGTATGGGAAAAAGAAAAGGGCTGTTTTTATGGTTTTCCCAGTAATGAATCAATTTTTCTCAGCTTTTATACCTTCCCTGAACCTCCACAAACATTTCAAGACTAAGATAAGATAAATCCGTTCAGCTGTTCTCGAGTTTTAGCGAGACTAAGGAACAGCAATCCATTTTTATATATATAGAAGATTACAGAGGATTCAGCTTAATAATAAGCATTTTATATAAAAACCAATGTTCAATATAAAAATTAACAGCAATCGTATATTAAATTAACCTCATTTTTAAAACATCAAACATATATTTTTTACGTGTAATCACAAAAGTAAATTTAGCACTATTTATACTTCTTTAGCTTATTTAACATTGATATATACTACAGTGAGGAATAGTAAAGAAGCCGGACCTTCTTCATCAACTATTAGTTTGAAAAAGTAGCACGAATTAATAATTTATGTAATATTATTGTCATGTATAAATATATTCTGGCAGTACATACTTGTTTTAAAAAATATAAACGTCAAAACTGTCATACGTAATAGCTTAAAGTAATTATTTAATTAATCTTTATATTACATTAGTTATTTATTATTTCTGAACTCATGTCTAGAGTTATTTAAATTTCCAGTCTGTAGTAGGAAGTCAATGACTTGTCCCATTTAGTTATTTTTTTTGAGGAGCTGACAAAGAATTGATTTCCGTCAAAATGGCCGGTGCTTTTGTTAGAAAAATATTTTTTATATAATATTAAAAATTAATCATTCTAGGCATCCTGTGCTCGGAAAAAAATTGATGTTTGGCAAGAAAATAGGATCAAAAAGAATGTTACGTTTAATTGTCATTAAAATGTTTTAAAACCGGATAATATTACTGTAATTCTTCTAAATATATGATAATGAAAAACCAAAAATATTGAATATGCGATTATTTAATGAAACAATATGCTTTAATTTTTATTTTTATTATAAAAATTTGAAAAGTAATTAAAATACAAGTTATGGGATTTACCGATACAAAATATTAATTATAATAAATATTAATACCTAATTTATCAAATAGAAACTATTTTATTATTGCTTGTTTGTGGGAATTCCCGGTTCCAAACTAATCAGATTCATTATCAAACTCGTCACACTATCAGAAGTAACAGTGAAGGCGATTGTAACCTTTGATTAAATATTAATAGATTTTACTATAGTTATGTATTGTATAGTCTTTTCAATATTAGATATATTTTTTAATTAGTTTAAAATCAAAAATCCAAAGTATCTCAATTGTGAATGTCAAAACTAAACGTTTATGTCAAGGTATCTCTGACGTATTTAGATGTCAACCTATTTTTGACAACTTATATCTGTTGATAGATCACAGAACGTTAATAAATAATGATAATGTAAATATTTTTGAGTAGTTTGTCATAGTTCTTCCCACGCCGCAACAACAATTGTAACGAATGCGTTCAAGGAACAATCTATTTCGACTCGTCTGGAGCGGAGCCAGCAACATTAAATGCACTTGGAATAAACACCGCTCCTTACAATAAATGTTCTTAACTGTAATATACATCGCCGTTAGAATATGGGTTAGCGGAGGACATATACGTAAATATATAGTATATATATAATACATAGATACCGTATACTGTGACTTGTGACTTGTGAGCTTTATCCTTGGATCCAAGCTAACTAAAGAATGTAACGACTTACCCAACTTACAGGGAATAGCTTATAGCTGAGGTTTGTGAGGAATTCTTTTTTTTTGGGATCGAACATATCGGAGGGCTTGAATCCTCGTTTTGTTATGAGCGAGCTGTTCACGCTGGACGAGCTGGTGACGTCATCGAAGCTGTCCTTATGTACCACGCGATCGTTGACCTTGTGGATGCTGGACATCTTGTTTGATGAGTACTGACTCTCGCTGATCGTCATCATTGTGAACAATAGTTCTAATCACAGTTGCACTACACTTTTAACCTATGACTGTCCGAATATTGACGTCAAACTTTTTTATATGCGAAAAGTAATGAGTAATATTGTCAGTTTGCGCGCCAAGACACACTGTAGAATATAGATAATTAAACAATTTATAACAGAAAAATATATATTAATTTGCTTTAAAGCAGTTTTTAAAGATCCTTTTATATGAAAACAACGATCTTTATACAAACGTGTATTGAGTTGAGATTGGTTTGCAACGGTTAATCTGAAAATAGATTCGAAACAGTTGCCGGGCGTTTTACAACGTGTTTACTCAAAACTATAATCATCAGTTTGCTGTTAGAACAGACAGTATTAAAGATTTAACACTATTAACCTAAATGTAAGGTTACGTTGCAAATAACACTAAAACGATCTCAAATTAACCTTCAAATATTTCGGTAATTACTTATTGGTGAGAAATAATATTCAAATTATACTCTAAATAATGTGATACAAATAATTTATTACGAATTTATGGAATTGTCTATGGATTGCAAAATGTGTATACATTTATCAAAGAATTCAAAACTCATCGTCTATTTTTAACAGTAATCCGTTTTAAGTGATTTAGATTAGACGTTTAATTCAAACGAATGTGACGAAAAAAAAATTTTCAGAAAACTATGTTCTAAATTTGAATTTACATTAAATTCTTATTCGTTTAAAATAGCGGTTATATTTAAATCAACTTTAAGGGAATCTGTTTTCAATCAAAATATTTAGATTATATTAAATAACGACACAAAAACACAAACACAGCACAAAACAAGCACACGAGGCACGTGGCGTTCGCTCGAGACTTCGGCAAAGACTACCTCTGAAATATGTTGCATAACTTCGAAAAGCTCAGACGTAGGGTGAATATATTCTGGGAATTTTCGTGAGACCTTTTAAATAAACTAGCTGTAGCCTGCGACTTTATTTGGGCGCTGAAAAATACGCAGCTCAAAATAATATAGAACCTACCGGGTTTTTTTTCAAGATTATCTGAATATGGCTGACGAAATAGTTTATTACAATCTAATGTGAGAATACAAATAATTGTAACTATTAAAAATAGATATAACTTTGCGTTCAGAAAATTGTTTTGAATTTCATTGTCTTCATAGTTTTTCATAATAGCACAATTAATAACAGAATTTATAATGATTCTCATTTCCATACATCAAAATGGCGGCACTAGTTGGCTAGTGTGTGTGCCAGGTTCTATTCCTGTAACGCGGCGTCGTTTCGCAATCGGTTCGAAATCATATTTACGATTTCGGTGAAAATTTCAACAATATCTGAACAGAAAAAAATAATCAGAATCACGTGTATCGGATGTTTAAAAAATATTGTTGGTCCACATATAAGTTTCCTCGATCGCTTCGAAATAAATAAATAAATGACGTGACTCACTTGCGAAACCCGAAAATGTTATGAGATAAAAAGTTTCTGGATTCATCATAATTAACGGCTTGCGAGCTAAAACACCCACGGGCTGCCTACATGAGCATTAAACGCATTGCAAACAACTGTTACAAGACTTACGCTCAAGTTATGAAATATATTTTAGTGTATTTTGTATGTAACGTGTATTGCACCACACATAATTCATGTAAAACAGTTTTGGACAGCAACAAGAAATTTATTTATAATAATTCATTTTACGTAATGAGTTAAATTTTTATCCAATAAGTGGATATTATAACTGGCTAATATATAATTTTTAATATCGTTGTTGAGAAATCCCAAATTTAATAACAATATTTTATCAACCTAAAGCATTGAAATTCGATGTAAACTTAACCAAATTGTTCATAATTCTTAGGTGTAATTACATATTTTATCAGATATATTTGAGAGGATGTGCAATTTCTAATGGTACTTTGAAGCTTAAAGATCTCACTGATGTCAACAAGATTTTCTATTACAACTTACGAATAATGTGTACACTTTAAAACATAATAATCTTAGACTTTATGGGTTGTAATTTTTTATAAATATTTATTAATTTGGAAATAAAAAGACTATATTTTTAAATATTATATTGTTATTATTACTTTGCCCTATACAAAGCGTATGGCTTAAAACATACTATTAAATAATTTTAATGTTACAATTTTAAATCCAGTTCGTCTTGTAACGGCTACCTGTTCAACGTAGTTACTTACCAATAGTTACTATTGTGCAAATTAAATCATTTAGTGAACTCATTAACTGATAATAAACCTAATTTATCAATGACGTGTATTTGGGTTAAAACTTTGGAACTCTAATGTATTGTAAGTCTGTTTAGTACCTAACGATGTATTCTATAGAATCTTTTACAAACAACATGTCTTTTGTCAGGTTTACGTATTTCGTTAAAGAGGACCGCAGTGAATCACAACTTTCACTGTCAACTTTTTCACGTACAATTAGATGCAAGGTTGCGGATCGGTTTACAATCCTGTATTGTTTTTACTTTCTGGGACAAACAACAACTTTTCATTCGACAAACGACGAAACCAACATGACCAGTCTGTTCCACTTCTTAAGATTTTAGACTTAAAACAGTGTAAAATTTGTGGCTTTAAAATGAATTAACGCTTGAATAATTACGTTCAGAAATAATCTTTAACTAAATTTTATTACTTGAATTTTGCATTTACATAAAATAAATATTTCATGTTCATTTCGGAAGCCTTGATTCGTATACTGCAATATGTTTATTTGAATCATTAACCGCCTAATTTATATAATGTACGTGAGGTAGCCGCGTCTTAATGCACGTTAAGCTTGTAGTGATTCATAAAATGATCAAAACAAGGAGCACCTTTATCAAACACCTACATTACTAACCGGCGGAGTTCATTACTTCTTTGTTTTCTTTAAATGGTTAGAGCCTTATCTTTGTTTTAGATATAACAAATTAACAAAGGAGTTTAGAAGTTCTAGAATAAGTATGCCTTGCTATTATTATCACTGTTTTGTCATTAAAAATACGATAGTTTGAAATGGCATTGGCCTTTTTGACAATCATAGTTCCCATAGTTAGGATTGTTTTGATTTTTTATTAACTAGCTATCGTTTGCGGCTTCGTTCGTATTTCATCACAGCCTTGAAAACTCAGCGTGATAAATGAATTATATTTGTAACTTTTAAATTTAAGATTAATTAAAATCTTTCTAGAAACAAAGTACATAAATAAATACAGAAAACTTTGATAGTCCAAACAAATACTACAATAGTTAATACTATGGAGACATTTTACGTAGAATTTGACGATTGGTTGCCAAAAAATGTTAGTCATGAAAAATACTCAGACATATATTGTGTTAGCTGCGTATGTTTTCCTGATTTTAATATTGTAGCCTGAATCACCATAGTGTCGAATCACTCCTAAACAATAAACGGGAATGTGGTTCAAACTAAAAACAATTAAATCATACACACCATTTGCAATATGTAATCAATTTTATTCGTAATTTCTCTAACACGTTGTGGTGAATCATTAAATAAACGACACATTAAAATAAACAATTTTTTAATTTATTGATAATAATAACTAAAAAAAAAACATATTTTTACACAATACATTATAATTAGTATTACACCGCTATGAATAATATTTTTTTAAACATATCAAGACGTGGACTAGCAAATAATATTTAACTTATACAATTTCTCGTACAATAAATGTCAAAGGAATCTGTTTCGCTTTCCGGGGGTCGTAGAGTTCATAATCGCTCGCCGATATCTTAGGGTACAGTCCCTACTAACCCTTTACTTAAATAACCATTCGCCTCCCTCCTAATAATCCTGTAGACATACTTCCCCCTTATTTTTTTCTTATATAATTCATACTTTACTGTTAAATTATGGCAGTCCAATGCAATACCGTGATGTAAAAGTGAGAAAAATTGGTCTAAATACAAAATATAAACGGAAACAGAGCCATAAATCTATCCATTAAATATCATATATATTATAGCTATATCGTAAGTTTATCATACATCGATCTGAAAAGAAGCCATTACAGTAGAAAACAATTTTATTTTTAAAAAAGTCTTATAACCTAGACGTAATCCTAGCAGACCAGAACTATTTTTTTTTTATCTGTCCAACGTCATGGCTGTACGCGTTGCAGCCTTTGTGCGTGATAAAATTTCTCCCGCCATTTCTGACACTTGTGCGAATTGGACAGATAAAACAACATCCATAATGCGAAACATCCTTACAAGACAAATATATTCATGCATAATGTAAATCTATTTGCTCAATGGTGATAGTAGAGGAGAAATGAAACTTTATTTTGGGGGGTTTAATAGTTAGATACAAAACTTTTGTTGTGACCGTCTGATATGCCTTAATTTTAAACCTTTGTCTTTAGTAATGTCACGAAAACAGAGATAATAAAAACGTTCGAAATGCTGACACTGGCGATATTAAGCATCCATCTTTTTGTTCTTAGACGTGAATTTCTCCCGCACCTAACCTATCTAGACAAAGGGCTATATTATATAAATTAAAATAACATTAGCGCGACGACCATCGACTATGAACAAGCCAAAAAACCCTACATACATTTGTGCCTAATCGGAACGAATACTGTGACAGAGGTTTCATCGAGATTAATAAACAAAAATGTTATTTAAAGAGCAACAGATGTTGAAGTTACACCGCTAACGATTATACTCCTATACCTAGCTTACACTAATATGAAGTTTATACTCGAGACGCGACGTCGCCCCGACATTGATATCCGATGCTCGCACGTGTAGAAGAATAAAAAACCTTGTTAAGTGAGGAATAAGTACTATTTCCGTGTGTAGTGAGTCGTGCAAGCCGATGGGTACATGGTATTATAACTACACGGTGAATTCCAAATAACTTAGTCTTCCATGGAAATCGTAACTTTTATTTGAATCTCAATCACCTGTATCAAACAACAGTTTACATCAATAAACACTTAGCAGTAGGAAGGATACAATATATATATAGATATATATATACGAGACAAATATTCAATTATCAGTATATATGTATTGTAAACGTCAAAGTATAAATCGTCCTACGCCTTATATCTATTTAAAATTCCATGAGTATAGCACGTGGCAACCCTGAAACACTATACTTGCCAGTGAACTCTAGTATGGAGACATGTAGCTCGTATTAACATTAGCCCAGAATAAGTTACAGCGAACATAATCACCGTCCAATAAGTTACATAATGATTATAATAATAATATTTGGTTCTTTAGTTAACAGGATAATTAATGAACTGTCACATGTTTGTGCGATGCGTTCATATCTGAAAAGATATAAGTTTAGTATTAGTTCGACACGGAACCGAGCGTGCTATCGAATGCGACACACGATCGACTCGACCGTACTTACCGATAGTAAGAAACATAAGTGGCCAGCTATCGCCGTACGCCGAAGCCCCGCAGACTACGCTATACATTACACATATAAATATATCGTAAACAAGAGTGCACACATCTCTCACACCTAACTATATATATACTTATTGATTTAAATGCTTTAGAAACCTATGTATACAATAAATAAGCAATGAACGTCAAACGTGGTTCAGTTCAAATGCGGATCGGTCGGTCAGAACGGCTAAAACAAACGCAGAGAAAAGCATACGCCTCCGGTTACAGACAGACAGATATATATATATAATATAAATAAAGTAATAAAATGAATGGCGCCGTGTAAGTGTGTCGTCTAGTTCCATATGCGCAGGAACGAGTCCCACGAGCCGGTCGCCACAGCCATGCCGTTCTCAGTCACGCCCAGGCAGGACACGCGGTTGTCGTGGCCGGCGAGGATACCTGACAACACACATATACATATTACTATATAAAAAAACATTTAAATATAAATATTGACACGGGTCGGATTCGAAGCTGTTATTTAATTGTAATAGAACGTTCTAGTTCTTTTTACTAAGCTATTGTGCTTTAACTAGAGTCAAAATATTTTATGTATTAACCCTTCGCGTATGGACAGAGCTGTCATCTCGGTTTTAGAAATATTAGAAATTAGTAATTTTTAACATTAAGTCAACGTTGATCTTCGAAACCAGCTTATATAGACTTATCCATTATATATGATCAGTTAAAACATTATTTAAATCAAAGTATTATTTTAAGATGACTGTGCGTTATTTGTTTTAGAAATCCCATCTGTCTATCATCACGATTGCTGCAAAGTAACCGAAACGTTGGGAGTATGTAGTTTAACATAGAAAAACGCATAGTAATGAAATCTTAGATTAGATTTTATTTGTTTTGCAATAAATCTAAGACTTTCGAGTATTCATATAAATGAAACTTTCAGATAACAATGCGGACTTTAACTTTGAATTGCTGCAAAGTAATCGAAACGTCGATAGTGGTAAGTTTTTAAAAATAATAAAATACGTGTAATAATCCGTAAAACATTAGCAACACGAAATAGTTGTATAGTATATCAGGGTTAATATGTGTAATATATCAGGTATATAGTTATTTTTGCCACCTTTTACATAAGAAAAAAACTTGGACCCATCAAGTTTTGGACATCCTGTAGCAATCGTATAGTATATGAGTACTGACCGGCGCGCTCGCTCTTCATAGAGTCCCACACGTTACAGTTGAAGTCATCATATCCGGCCAGCAGCAGGCGGCCAGACTTGGAGAAGGCGACGCTGGTGATGCCGCAGATGATGTTGTCGTGGGAGTACATCGCCAGCTCCTGGTCCGCGCGGATGTCGAACATGCGGCACGTGGCGTCGTCCGAGCCGGTGGCGAACGCGAACCCGGATGGGAAGAACTGGAATATACATACACACACACATTAGTAACATAAATGCTATATACATACATATATTTATTTGATATTTTTTATAGGAGGAAGAACTGGAACACAAACACACACACATTACATTAGAAACATAATTGTTATATACATGATATATTTTTTTGATAATTTTTATAGGAGGAAGAACTAGAATACAAACACCACACAGTACATTATAGAGGAAATATAATAATAATTTATTTCAGACCAATTACATCCATATTAAAAATACATTAAAAGCTGAGTGTTAGTAACAAAAAACTTAAAACCTAATGTTAGTAGTATAAAATTATAAAACTAATATACTAAGCACTATTAGACCTAGTATGTAGTTGTACCCATTTACACAATATTGGCGTGTTCCACATAAATTAAGAGTGTGTTATGTATATTTCTTGTGTGTGAGGGGAGTTTACTCACAGTAACAGCGTTGATGTCGCTCTCATGCCCCGGGAAGGTCTGTTTGCACTGGCAGTCGCGTATGTCCCACAGCTTGGCGGAGGCGTCGCAGGCCCCCGACACGAAGGTCCGCTGGTCGGGCGCGAGGGACAGCGACATGACGTCACCCGTGTGACCCGTGAACTGGCCGCACTGCTGACCCGTCTCGATGTCCCACAGAGCGCTTAACACACGACACATACATTAGAATCGATAACGAACACACAATATAATACATATAATAATAAGGGTTATTCCTTTTTGAAGTAATAATTATACAATTCAGGAAATGGTACAGTAATAATATTCTACTTCAAAACAATATCTATGTAACTAGAACTTTCTCAAAACTTTCTGATTAACATTTACATCTACATAAATGTACTGAGAGAAGTATTCTTCTATCGTCTGACTAGATATATATGTATGTGTCTGTGTGTATGTATATGTATGTGTGTCTGTGTCTCACCAGGTCATGTCCCCGGAGCTGGTGAGTATCTGGTTGTCGTCCAGGAAGCGGCAGCACGACAGGTAGCCCGAGTGGCCAGGCAGCTCGCGGGACACGCGCACGTTACCTTCGCGGGTCTTCAGGCTACAACACAATCATTATATATATTAACTAATCATATACACATATACTATTAGTTTAATAATAAACTTAATAACTAATTCAGTAATTTTTTTTCATCAAAATTACTAGCGGCTAGTTTCGAATAGGGTAGTGATTGTCACTGAATGTAAGAGCGGCCATTATGTTATGGACAGCGCTCAAACGAAGTGCACAAGCCTAACCTATTGGCTAAATTAATTTCCATCTTATTATTTCAGCGTAATTTTAAATACAGTTGTAAAGGAATCGCGTAATAATATGTTGTACTGTACAAGTTTGCTTTTATTTGAGTTCCAATCGTTACAACGGTCATGATGGTTATAAAAAGAAAAGTCCGTCTTGAGGAATCCTTCTGACCTTCCAACACATATCCTACTAATGTTATAATTGCTAAAGTTTTATAGTGTGTGTATGTTTGTTAATTCTTCACGCTCAAACGGCTGAACCGATTTTGATTAAATTTTGTATACAGGAAGCTGACGTCCAGGAATAACACACAGGCTACTTTACATCCCCGAAATCCGCGGGTAACATCGAGGGGGGGCAGCTAGTATATCTATATAGTTTAACTTATATGTACCTGTAGATGGAGCATATGTTGTCGAGCCCCCCGCACGCGACGTACGAGCCCGAGGGTGCGTACGCGCAGGTCATGACCCACGAGGACCTGAGCGGTATGGCGTGCACCTTGTTGGTGGTGTGACTGTCCCACACGATCAACTTGCCGTCCTGGCTGGCTGACACTAGGTTCCTGAACAGACAGGCGAACACACATTATTATATATAAAACTTTGTACTTTCATTTATAATGTCTTCTTCTACTTCTACCTGGCAATTTCCCAGCTATAACCAGGGTCTGCCTGAATTTATAATCTACTTTAATTTATAATGTAGTTATTTTTTTTAATGTAAGACCAAAACTTTGTGAGTTTCTCTTACAATGTGTATTTTGTTTTTGTGTATACTTTGTTGAAGGTATTAATTTAATGAACAATTTGTCGGTTTCCTGTGTATATTCACAGTAAAAATTACATTTCCCTCATATCTAAATCCGCTTATATTCATAGTAATTTAAGTAACATGAAATTTAAGTAGCTAATTTTGTGTCAGTAGTGTTGAGTGCAATGAGCTAAATAAAAATATATAATGGAAAAGCCATTATAATATTCATAATACTAGTACTGTAAAATTGCTTGAACGTTTAGTGCACTCAAAGTTTATATTGAAAAGAAGAGCCTAAAATATATTTTATACATAAAATGTATTAGAAATAAATTTAATTGTATGAAATAAACATCACCCACACACACACACACACACACACACATGTCAATGTCACTAAATGTCAAACATAATGACATTACTATACTATTGAACTTGATATAATCAATTAATTAAAGCCAACTATCGGTAGTTCAGATGTATCTAGTATTTTATAAATACAACAATCTTTGTTTTTTTTATATTCTCAGTTCAAAATAGACTGTTATATAGCAGGTCAAAGGTCTTTAAACAATGTTTTTTTTTATTATTGTTAAACTGTAGCGGGTTTTTTCCATGAAGCAAGCCATCGTAAAAAAATCATCATCATCATTTATTATTAAAAAAAAATGCAAGAAAAAATACTATATGAATATTAAAAATTCTATTAAATAAGTCGGAAACGTGGAATAATGAATGCTCTAATGAATCGAGAAAAAAGTTACTCTTATAAGTATTAATTTCATTTTTCAGGCTTTGTAACATATTAAAAATTATCTTTATATGCTTAATACAAATTTATATCACCTTACTATATTCGAAGAATTTCACTTTTATCATTCTATGAACTATGTTAATATGTTAACTATTTTATCATTCTATGAACTATGTTAATATGTACTAAAATTTATGAATGAAAAACTGTTAAACGCGCCGTATGTAGTGTAAAGAATTAAACTTGTGGTAATCAACTATCTGAATTCAAACTTCTAATCCCAGAGTGACGAACTGATTACGCACTTCATTCAGGGTTGACACCGTGCAGATATTTATAATGAAATAATATTTACTATAAAACGCTTTTTTTAATAGCGACATACTTTCAGATATTTAATATATTATATTATAGTAAACTAGTTTTTGTCCGCGGCTTCGTCATCGTTGAAATCAATATTAATACAGAAGTGAATAATGTGTACTTAAAGTATCAGGAAAGCTACTACAGGATAACTACAAGTATATCTACATAGGCCATTCTCATGTGTAAACTATGTTACTAAAAAGTTTTATCAAAACCCGTCCAGCATATTTTAAACAAACATCCGCAACCAAGGAGAAAGTAGGTAATTATTTTTTTTCATTACTGATACTATCTGCATGGACCCAAGCATATATGCATGCATGCATATCATGCATTATTAAACAAAAATTGAAGCGCCAGCCCTGAACGACTTCAAGAAATATTTATTTCGAACGATCCGTTCGTAGAAAAACCGTAAGATAGTTAAAAAACATAGAAAACTCTCGGAAATCTAACAATCAAATAAACGAAAGAGATTTAAATAACGTATCAGTATATGAGAATGACTGTAGATACATTTGAATCATTATCCCTACTAATATTATAAATGCGAAAGTAACTCTGTTTGTTTGTATGTTACGCTTTCACGCCTGAACCACTGAACTGATTTTAATGAAATTTGGTATAGAGATAGAATTGACCTTGAGAATGAACATAGAATAGTTTTTATGCCAGACTTTTGAAAGGTTCTCTTGGAAACGCGATATAACCGAACTCCACGGGGGCGGAAAGCTAGTGTATAATATATAGACATATATATTATCTAGAAAGCTTCTATATGTGTGAATTAATTATATATGTTTTGTTTATATGTAACGTATGTGCGTACGTGGACGAGGTCTCGTACGAGATCTAATCAACATCAAGGTCACCAACGTGGGAAAGATTTTATTATAATATAAAATGTATAGCAAATGTATATGGACAAAAAAAATCGACTTAGCAGGTGGTAAAGATATTTTGTCCTTGTTATTACTTGTGTTGAATGTATTGAGAATGCTTTAAGAGAATTTGTTTCCAGATATGTTTTCGAGTTCAATATACTTTGGATTACTTATAATGTATGTATATAAAAACATTTCCAGAGCGTTACAATATTTGTCATATGAATTTTTTTTTAACTGTGTTTGTGTGTGTGTGTGTTTGTCCTTATACGTCTGTCTGTGATTGCGTCTGTGTGAATCTATAAATACGTAAATGTGCGCGTGTGTGTGTCTGTATGTACCCCTGTCTGTATCTGTATGTGGGTGTATGCATGTGTGTGTGTATGTATGTACGTGCAAGTGTGTGAATCTGTATGAGGTTGTGTGTATGTGTGTGTTTCTGTATGTACGTGTTTGTGTGTACCTCGAGTCGCTGCCCCAGTGCATGGCGTAGATCTTGGCCAGATGTCCCCTGAGCGTCCTGCGGGTCCTCATCTGGATCCGTCCGATGGGATCCAGGTTGGCGGTGGCCTGCGCCAGCGACGTGTCGCACGCCGCCTTGCGGGCATCCTTAACGTAACAAAACAATGTTATAGTATAACTACATACAAATCTATAACAACTAACCTAAATAATGTAGCACCTGACCAAAATATTGGTTTTGTAATGATTACGCCGTGTACACATGCTTAGGAATGTAATCAAGCTAAAAATAATTTTAGACTGTAATTCATATGTAATCCGGATTGTATTCTGTTTGTGTGCCTAAATAAATAAATTAAAGAAAAACTACATCAATCGGTGGTAGAGCCTAGCTGTGGTCAGTTACTACAGCTCGAACATGGGCTGGCTCGACCGGGGAGGTACCACCCTCTCACAGAAGATCGGCGTGAAGTATGTAGTATTTAATGGCTGCGTTTCGTCCGATGAGTGAGAGAGCCGGTTGACCTTTCCCTCATAAAAAAAAATCCCAATGTGTCGGTTACTTTGCAGCAACCGTGATCACGGGCAGACGAGATGAGAATGAGATTATTAATTTAAGTTCAATGAAATTTTAATCTCATTATGTAAAACATAATACTATACACAATTTTCGCAAGTACACATAATGTACATATACATTTTAATCGAATTACTCTACATTTAAAGCAAAGCTTCATTTACTTTTCCTTAGCCATGATCAAGTGCACATTATTTCTTTATTCATATATTTTGCCGAGTCCTATAATAACCAGGTTCCCTGACATCGTCCGTCTTACCATTTATATCAAACTACAGCTGTTTGTAAACTGGTTTTGTTTTTCCCTTACATAAATAAAGTTGTTAATGTTAAGCTTTAACGAATATACTGCATCGACATCAAAACTTTATAATGAAAAACTTATTTAAGACAATTATTAAAAATTTCCTGGCCTGCAACACCAACAGATGTGTGCCACTTTTATTTGACTAATTTAATTTGTAACAATAAACCTAAATTAATCTCAAATAACATTGCTATTGTTTGTGTCCAATTACGTAATAAAAATTTTCAATTTAAAATAAATAGAATCTATAGAAATATAAAAAAAATGTGACACCGACATCTTCAATAATGTTGAAGAACGCGATATGTCAAAATAGCTATCATTATTGTTACAATAAAAATCAAATGTCATTTCAAACTGTAAAATTCGTTATAAATTTGACAGTTGCCCAAGTCAGATCGCATAATAATTGACATACGCAGTTTATAAATAAGAACTTAGATAAAATTTATAAATACCAATTAACAGAGCATAGCTGAGTAAATACCCTTTAGAAAATACTAACAAACATACATTTTCAATTTATTATTTTGCCTATATAACAAACTGTCCAATAGATGGAAACGAAAGAGAAAAAACGCAATAAGGAAAAATACAATCAAACCATGTCAATCACATGACATACTTCAATATAATTATATATTAATGACTTATATAAACAATTCTTGACTAATTAAATATAATTTTCCTCGACTTCTTATCCGTGTTTCTGACTGTTATTACTATGTATTTAAAACATCATTGAGAACTTGGGCATTTTTATAAAAAATATATTTTAAAAAAATCTTTTTTACGTGTCATAAAATGACACTACAAAACCTTGTAGTCAATATCCTTCATAGTAAAATATGACAAATGATGAAATATAACGATTCCCAAACCTAGTTTCCTAGATTATCGAATATAGTCGAAAAGACTAGTTTTACAAGTATGTAGCACCATCTGTGCCGTACTAATTATAATACACTATAATCCTTCCAATTATTTTTATTACTGATGGTAATTAATTGTAATATTGAACCACTGTTATTTTGTAATGACAACATTTAAATATCCACCTCTATTTGAAAACTATGGATACTGGCTTGAGCTATATGTAGAACTTTAGAAGTAACGCTGAATGTTCAAAAACTAATCTGAAACTGTCTTCGTGTGTGTGTTTGTGAGAGGTCATTGAACCTACCCGGATGGCATTCTTCAAGGTTTCCGCCTCCTGGCGCAGACTGTCCAATTCATTCATGATGCAGCACTCGAGTCCAAACTTCAACACTTGCTAGACCTGCGCGCCGCACACCTTCCGACCTAAAGATACAACACAACATGATATAGAAACAGATTAACATAGAATCATCCAGAAGAATATTCTAGATATACATGGAATTTAATATTATTACAAAATATAGAGCATAATTTGTTTCAATATACGGAATATTGGTCAACAAAATCGTCAATAAATGATTTTTACACAACATTTATCAATCGGTACATACAAGCCGATCTCACAAAGAAATATGACCAGAAGCGTAATTTTTTTTTTGTGATATGTTGCTACATAATTAATGATAGGTATCTTACTTTTTTTTGTACTACGTTAAAATAAAATAATGACGCTATATATTCTATATGATAATATAATTTTCAAAAACAGATAATCGAAATGAAACCATCAATTCCGTCTTTGAGTACTTCTTGTACCTGTATATGTACAAGTTGAGTTAAAAAACCTGGTTGAAAGCCGGCCTGCTGTGCAACCAAGCGTACACTCATGTCATTGGAAAGTCTCGATACCGATTTCCTCGATAACTTGTCATTAATATTTAGTTTATTGTGAACTTATTAATTTATATACCGTATATATTTATAATCCCAATTATGAGTATATATTTTCAGTTACTTTATGTATTAGATTCGCAAACTACTATTAAATACAGAGTAAAATTTGAACAACTAAATTAAACAGAATCCACTATTTAAACTGTATAATTTACAATATTTTAACCTCTTTTATTGACGATATATTATTTTATTAATAAGTAAATATATATTTTCTATTTAATTCTTTTCATCGTCTGTCCGTGAGGTCATACGTTCCGTCACTCCATGCTCGTGTCCATAGTGGGCAACATTATTGTGAACCCATAACAAGCACAATACACATTCAATATTAACATATATTTCATTTACATACATAATGTATATAAACATAAGGCGGAGACCTATTTGAGAACCACTTTTTACTTCATTTGAGAAAATCAGTCCACGTTCAGATTAATAGGTAAAATAAAAAAAAATACAATATAACTCAAGTTCTAAGCCCCGATAGTTAAATTTCACGTTATGATTACTTTCAATTTCTTTTTTGGCAATTTCTCAGCTTTAGCCAGGGTCTGCCTTACATGTTGTAAATAGTTTTGGCTAATTGTTTTTACGACCGGCCGCCTGCCTGACATCAACCCTCTTTGGGAATAAATTCACGTTATGATCACTATGGTTTTAAAAAACAGTGTTATAATTAATGTTAATATAAGACGGTGAAGGAAAAGATCGTGAGGAAACCTGGACTTATAATTTCACAATTATAATATTAAAATCACCAACCCGTCTTGAGCGAGTGTGGTGATTAATGCTCAAACCTTCTCCATGTGAGAAAGAAGGCCTTTGTTCAGCAGTGGGCTCTGATAGGCTGATGAGTGGTGACGTATAAAACTATCATCATATATGTATATAGAAAAAAGTCAATATTTCATTCTGTTCCTCCATAAATATAATCATTAATCATATAATAACAAAAAAAACCTTATATATAAGATCTATATCTTATCTATAAGATCTTATACATATATAGGAAAAGAAATCAATTTAATACATTATCCGCTTATGTATTCATGTAAATAGTAATAGTACGGCGTTACAATATACACTATATTCATTAGTACATAAGGCATATAATCGATTATTAAATTATAACCACTTTGATATCATTTATTTATCTTTATATATTTTTTTAAGTTAATATCGAAATAAATTAAAGACGATTATAAACCAATACTTTTCTATAACCAGATAGTTTAAGGTAAAAAGCCGCTCGCTCTCAATCTATTTATAAGAGATCTTTGATTCGTATAAGTAGGCGAGGTAAAAATAGATTTTCCTATAAAATTTAAGCCATGTCTTTACTATCGACAACGAGTTTAACGAATCGTTCACTTGTGTGTAATACATTTTAATTCCTAGTAGTATGTATGACAATCGATTAATTTGAATTGACTAAATCTATACTAATATAATAAAACTGAAGAGTTTGTTTGTTTGTTAGAAAGCGCTAATCTCCGAAACTACTGGTTCGAATTGAATAATTCTTTTTGTGTTGGATAGTCCAGTTATCGAGGAAGGCTGTGGGCTATATAACATCACGCTACGACCAATAGGAGCAAAGATATAGTGGTAAATGTGTAAAAAACGGGAGAAATTATTTCATCTTTGAAGCCTTCCGTTGCGTGCGCCGTGAAAACGGTTCAAGATAGGTACACAAAAAATATGTACTAAAGAATAATAGCTCTTTTAATAATCTAAAAAACAGTCCGCGACAGTATATGTCTATCTTTTAAGTTTAACTCAATAAAACCGTTTTTATGGTACCTAATTTGGTCGAAATAATTTTATAAAATCTTTATTCAAATAAACAAATAAATATGTTGTTGGTTAAGACTACTTCATTGTGAATTTTAAAAAAAACATAGGTTTTATCCTGAAAACTCTATGGGAACTCGACCATTCCGAAAACCCCGCAACAACGGGAACTATGTGGGAAGAACGGAAAATCTGCCGGAAGTCACTACTCCACGCGGACGGAGTCGCGGCAAAAGCTAGTCAATTATATAATTTGAAAGCTTATGAAAAAATATACAGATAGTTACCGTTATTCGTCATAATTATGTCTTTCTTATTAAATTTAATATATTACAAGGAAATTATATATTTTTTTAAATCAAGCAGACACTATATATCTGACATACATACATACATATATAATAACCACAGAACATACTTTGATCTAAAAGACGGTTTGTAATATATTGTGAGCAACCAGAAAACTGTTTTTTACTTATAAAAAAATTTCAAAAGGGAAAGAAAACTTCCGCTTGTATACATAAAGGTCCAACGTATAATATTTATAAATAAAATATCGATGTTAATAATACATGAAGCAGGTAGTGAAAGACGAGGATGAATTATAATTGTTTAAATGAAGACTAGTTCTTCTGGAGTCTCCATATACGGTGCTACTACATTATAAGTAATATTAATGGAGACTAAATCATAATAAAAGAGGTCAAAGTTCACGAATACAAAGTAACTTATCGCCTTAAGGAAGATGCCGTCGATAAAATATATATATACAACGAAAGAATAGCAGTAATTTAAATAATATTAAAAATAGTGTAGCATATATGTATATTTATATACATGTATATATATCTTAAAATTAATATACATAACAGATAAACATTTGCTTCTTAATAACAATACATACTTAACAAATTTTCAACATTTACTACGCTTCTCAAATACGATGACGTTGACGATTCTTTGTGAATATGTTAATGATTTTTTTTTAATATATTTTCTTAGAAATACAATATACTAGAGTCCAATATAAGAAAATATTCGTATACACATATTTTAGGTAGGTGTTGTATACAACACACAAACAATCGATTCAAAGAAAGAGGAAATACCCATAATTAGACATACATATATGTATATTTATCGGATCAAATCTTATATACATATACATTTTGAATTACGATGTTAATCACATTTGTTTATCACTTACGATAAAAAAGTAGTAAGTATTGAATTAAACAAATGTACATATATGAAATAATCTAAAATCAATTTATAACTCACAAAATGAAGTCAAAATTTTAAAAACAAATGAAGGTTTTATATCGTCAATGTTCAATTATATTATTATTCCAATTAATTATAATCTCCATTGATCGTGTTTGGTATATCGATGGGGAACGGCAGAACAAGAAGGGTTAGTCCGAAGGGGTAATTAGGGTAACAATTATTATTATTTACTAATTTTTGTCTGCGACTTCGTGCGTATGAATTTCGGTATCGGTATTGAGCTCTAAGAGTACTGTATGTGTTAAACACTGCAATACATATTATACTTTATAAGCAACTGGTAGCGACATCTACAATTGTTATACCTTAAATCTACGGTCACTAGAAAATATTGTGCTTTAAATTATCTTGAATTCGCTTTATTTAGATATGAAAGTTTTATAAAAAACTGTTTAGTAAGCTTTGTGTTAAGCGCAACAAACAATCATACATAACCCCTTGATTTCAACAATTAGAATATAAATGGAATGGCTCTATATAGAACAAAAATATATAAAAAAAGTGAAAAACCTTGATTGCTTTTCCATTCTCAAGTAAAATTCATAACACAGTTTCTATATTATAAGCTATAGCGTTGTAACATAGCTTCGTTTACGTTGATAACAATCGTCGAGCCAAAAATATGACTACGCCCTACTTGTACGTCTATGCACCGTTCATACAAAATATCATTAAAATCGGGTCAGTCTTGAAAAGGCAGGTGTTACTTTCACATTTACAACAAAATCATACAAACATTATAAGCCAAAAAATCAATATAACGATTTTCAATAAATGGAACATCATAACTTTTTATAAGTTCTAAGCCTTACAGTATGTATAAGAAAAATAACTATATATATTATGTAGATATGAAGAATTATTGAATATATAGTTGTAAAACCCTTCAACAACACTTCAACTATTGATTTCCTTCCCTTCCCAAAGTGTTTTTCAAATCAATCACAAAGGAAATGAATAACCTCTACATATATTACTCTACGTCTAAGGAACTAGCTTCCAGAATATTCCCTGACGAAAAATACAAATTGTATACAGACACAGTAAACAGGTAAATCTGCGTAATTATATATATATTGTATTGAATAAAGAACTTTCGTTAATTGTTCCAAAGAAAGGAGTAATTTGTTTGTAAGTAGTAGTGTTTTAATCCTGTATAAACGGCTGAAGCAATGGGTTTTTCCTATATGAATCATTCCAAAGTCGTCACTGTGGGTAGCGGTACAGCTTATATTGAATATTAAAATCAATTTACAATTCATATATTTCAGGTACCGACGGGAATACAAAGAGAATATATACACTATCGAATAAAATAAATGG